GTGAGGATCCCTGCACAATGGCCCAAAAAAAAAAAAAACAAACTTTCTTTAATTATTGAGATCGGGAAAGAGCAGCAATTCGTTAAGAAATATCGTTTTGATTGTTTGGGAAAGTGAAAGAACAAACACTTGATTACAACTCAAAATAATCGATTTTCTCGGATGGAGAGGAAAAGAGAGAACAACAAAGAAGAGAGAAAGGAAGAACCTGGAAAGACCAAATCGGAGTACTAAAAGATTAACCATATCCACATTTTAATGGAACAAATCCACAACATTCTTGTAGGAACAAACGTAAGAAAAGTAGCCGGGAAAACGCAAATAGTAATAATGTTACCAGTCGAAGGGGGAAGATAGAGCATAAAAAACCGAATTTTTATATTCGATTTACCTTTATTACTTCTATTAAGTGAAATAAATATTATTTCCATAAATATTCATGCTAAGTGAACGATGATAAGACGATGAATATGCTATTTGATTCATCTTGTTAGTAACAACCACTATCCTTAAATCACTTTTTAGCTACTCTCGATAGGCCGTGAATTCAAGTGATGCCGGTAAAAAAGCAGCAGAGAGACCTTACACTCGTGGATTGAAGCTCAAAAGTCGCTGTGTCATCATTTTCCTGAAAAAGTAGTAAATCAAATTAATTCGACACAACATTAATGCAAAGTAACTGAATATGACAGACAGCATGTTTGGAGCACCTCTATTAATAAATCCTTCCTCGTAATCATCCCAACCACACGAGAGGCACGCGGTACAACAAGTATATGCCTCAATCCTAATTGCCGGAATAAATTATATACCTGTATCATCATCAGCGGTGTTTATTATAAGATCTCTTAACCATGTTTACTAATAACCGATAAATATAGAGATTGGTGCTAGAATACAAATCACCCCCTGAAAAATGTCGCAATTCATAAATGTCCTTCTCGTTGAAAGTTCAATTTGTCAAATAATAAAACTCAAGTGTCAAAGGAGCCTTTTTCAGTTGAGAAACATTTAAGTTTTTTCGTAACTGGTTAACTATTCCTAAATATCTATCCAGAAGAGGTTATTAAAATGTCACCTTTGTTAATGACATGTCTTCAGGGACAACATAAGGAGATGGATTTAAAAACGGAGCAAGGTCGATGTACATTTCGAGGTCCTCAGAAGTTAGGTGGATGTCATCTATAGATAATCCCTTACTAGAAACGGGCTTGACGAATTCTGTAAGATTGTGCCTGCAATATAGATAAAACAACCAACTAATCACATATTCTGAGAACACAGGGCAGAACGAATTTTTTTTTTTTTTCCCTTCTTTTTCTCTCTTTTGTGGGGTGGCTCAGTACCTGATTTGCATGGGTCCATCTCCTGAATTAAACGGCAGTGGACTGTGCTGAAAATCGACCTTTGACTGCAAAAGTACCAGCAAATG